GAGATGAGGAGATGAGACGAAGATTTGTAATTATTATTTGTTTCAAAACGACCTACTGAAGATTCGTAAAAACTGCTTTTTTTGCTAACAAATTATATTGAACTATGTGATAAACTTGATCAACAGTTCCAAAGTAACTAACATTTTGAAACAAAAGGTAAATTTTTTAAGCTGTCACAACAATAGCACCTATTAGTTGTCTATAGAAAAAAACGAAAAAAAAAATTTTAGCTAGGAATTCAAACTAATTGTCAAAAAATGGCAAAAATTACAACGTATTCACAGAAGTGACAACAGTCTAGTCTTTTTGGTGTTTGAGAAGAAAAATTTGAATAGAAAGCTTTGAGCTTCTTTGTTCTACCGTCCCTAATCTTCTGTCTCCACACAACTCACCAAAAATAATTTTTTTCTCGTTAATATTTCTGGCAGTTATGCTGCTACCAATTAATGTTTTGAAAAGTATACGACAAGAGCTGCTTGTTGACTGCAAAAATATCTATTAAATTAATTGAACTAAATCTAATTCAGGCTTCCAATATTCCTTGTTTACCTTTTTGGTTCTTTGAATCATAAAAAAAAGTGCTACTGTGGAAGAAGCAACACTCTCCAATTTTGTGCTATCAAAGCAGTTTTTTGGCAGCAAATTATCATAATGTTTACTTCTTACAAATAAAAAATTTTTACTATTTACCCCGATCTTTTAGCGATTCTTTTGGTTCTTCATGACACTATTATAAACAAAGAACATTTGTTTAATTTCTGACATTATCTTAGAACTCAAAACTGTTACTTTTTACTTCTCGTAAAAATTATCAATATAGAGCAAAGTTCGCTATTTAGATGAGAATAGTTCATTTCTGTATATTTAGCTTCCAAATTTTCAAGAGTCAGCAACTAGCAATAAAAAAATGTGAAAAAAAAATAATATAAATTTGCCTATTTCTACAGACTAAACTACAAATAAAATATTATTATTTTTCAATTAGACAAATAAATTATGTGTGTATATGTATATATACGTATACAAATGTACACACATACAGAGAACTTTCAAAAACCCTAAATGTCTTCACACGAGCATCAATTATTTTGTAACTAGAAAGCTTAATTGATCACATATGACATATAATCCAGCCTTCCTGTTCACGGTCAATACAAGCGTTCAAGAACTGCATTGAACGCATGACTGAATCTGTTACGGTTCATTTCAGATGAAATTTTACCCCGTCGGTTTCTGGTGTTGTCATTGAATTTTCAACTATAGGATCTACGCAGCTTTCAAACCTGACAATCTGTCCATCATACCACATTTTCAATAGCATTAATCTACCGCCTTCAGTAAAGCAACTGTCAAAAAAGTGTACAGGTCCTACTTCGATGATTTAACATTGGTGTAACCTTCTTTTTTGTCACTTCAAATTCGTTCTGTTCTTGTTCCATCTAAAAATATAACGCATAGTTTATACCTGTTAATTTACCTAATTTTTTTTTTCATCTTCACACCACTTTTTCTTCAGTGTTATACAAAAAAAAAATTAGTAAATAAACTGAAAACTGGTTGACAGCTTTCAAATAAATTTATTTTTTGAATATATACAAATAAAGTGTCAACACACCATTGCTCGTTGTCGTTCCTCCTCTTCGGCTTTTATTTGCGTTTGGTATAAAACTATTCTGTATGTACCAACAACAGCACTTCTTGGAGCTTTTGGATAAGATTCGGCTAACATTTCCTCTGTTATACCGTATTGACTTAAGTCATGCCATACTGCTTGAACAATTGCATTTTTATCAGGATTCTTGGAAGTGTGATGTGTCTTACACTGAACGTATGAGTTTGCAAATGAGCAATTCTTGAGCCAAAAAGTTTTCTGCAAATAACAGTATATTCTAGATTTCTCCTGTTTAATGTTCAATAATAAACTGAATTGTTAAAAACTGTATTTTTCTACAAACTAATAAAGCTAAAGTAGTTGAAATTATTATGAGAAAGGTGATACAACTTTTCAAAACAACATTAACCTTGATATCAAAAACAGTCATCCGTTTTTCCGGATTCATCTCCAGCATTCGAGTAATGATTAATTGTGCAAACGAACTTAAATAATCAGGCAAGTCAAAAAATCCTTTCAATATATTTTGCCGCAAGTCCGAGATTGTATCACCCCGAAATGGCGTATTCCCAACCAGCATAAAAAACAGTAGTACACCCATTGCCCATATATCTACCATAGGACCTGCAATTTTTATTTGTTCAAGGTACCAAAAAAAATTTTGGATTGCTGACAACTGGTGAAACTTTTTATTATGATTTCTTGTATATAGTAGCTGAGCAGAGAAATGCGAGGTTGAGATAAGAAGTAAGATTGAAGTGAATATTAGAAAATGGAATAAAAAGCGGTGATGCCGTTTTAAAAAACAATAAAAGTCTGAATGAGTAGGCAGCCTAACTGTATATTATTAAAAATGTAGAAAAAAAAAACAATTTTTTATCCAACAATAATATAATGCAGAAAATGCTAATACAATCAGCACTTCTTTTAGTAAAAAATAAATAAAAAAATCTGGAAAAGTATGACAAAATGATGACAAACAAAAAAAAAAAAAAAAAAAAAAAA